AAAAAAATCCGGAATTTCAACTCGGCGGGTCCTTTGGAGAGCCCGAATAATAAGCTCTTGATTGTTAAACAAGAAAATAGAGTATACAGGCCGAGGAAGGGTATGAAGGGTTTGTAAAAGGAACGGAAGGGGGATAAGCTGTCGCTAAAAGAGTAAAAAAACGGGGACTATAGAATGTTTAATTTTGAGGTTGCATCGTTTTTGTAGTTCATCAAGTTCATTTCATTCTCCCTGTCATTTTTCATCAGGTTTGGAATTCAGTCTTGCGAACAAATTGAATAATCAAAAACCGTTATGCCTAGCCCTCTTTCGGTGAAGCTTACTCAGATTTCCCAGAGGTCAAGAGACTGAGAACTGAAAACTACTCACATTGCCTTTCGGTGTTGTCGCATGCATTTTGGCTTTTTTGCTATAACCTTTCTGCATACAGCTGTATGTCTGAAACATACTCATCATTACCAATAGTACTGTACTGTTTTTTGCTAACACTGAAGGCCAAATTCAGCTTCCGTGCATAAACAACCCAAGTCATTGTCCTTTAATATAGTTATATTTTTACCAGTAAGCTAAATACCTTAATCTAGAAATCTGGATGCTTTTTATTTAGTATGCATAGTACATTCCTTACTTTCTTTATAACTAAAACAATCTATAGATACATTGTAAGTGATTAAAGCCTTCCTTTTAACATTCATGATGCCGCAGCCTAAACTCTGAGCCAGGATTTTAGATATTTAGAGCATTATGATCATATGTAGCCACTAGTTGTTACAGGTTTTGAGGGATTATATTTATATATACATCGAACAGTGGCAGATATTCACTTTTGCTAAAACTATGCGTTTCTTATTGTCGAGTAAGGAAGTGAAAGTCTGAATTTACTTGGCGTCAAATTGATAAAACAGAAACACGGGTTTTGTCAGAACCTTCCTTGCCCAGGATCAAAATAACGTGGCCACAGCTACAGATTAAAGAAGGATTTAAATCATTTCATTTTCAAGAGGCAGCCCCGGGGCTGTTTACCTTCTTGGAAACTTTGTAAGCCCACTCACCCCATCGTACGACGAATTCAGGCAGTTTGTGGAACATTTCTCTCACTTTCTCTATGAAATCAAAAAATTCTTTCATACTTCCTCCTTCCTTTTTCCACAAATTCAAAGCGCGCCTATCTACAAAGACACCATACGGCATATCTACAAAGACACCATACGGCATTTCTTCAATATCTGGGTAAATAATTTTCTCAATATTCTTTCCCAGTTGTTCAATTTCGGGATCTTTAAGCAACTTATTCCTAGTCTTTTGCATGGTATCTTTTTTCTCGACATCTGTTCCTCCAGCTTTTATAGAGGACTCAAATTTTCCAAAAGCATATAACATAGTCTTTTCTGCCTCATCCAACAGCTCTTTTCTGGCCTTACTGAAAGCCTCATCGCATTCATTTGAGTGTGTCTCGCCACTTGGGAAAGACACCTTAAATCGCTCGATGTCATTTTTAAGGTAATGAATGACTCTATTCCAAAGGCAATGGGTTGAGCCTTGAAAAGTTGGTAAACCACTCTTAAAATGTAGAAGGTGTTCCCTCTTTTCCTTGAGCGTTTGATAATCATTGCCATGGAAAATTTTTTGCTTGTTTTCCTCAACAAACTTTTTTATAATGTCAAGGTATATATTCGTTACACCTATGTTAATAATGTGATACATGTTTTCTTGTTCTTTTGGTCCACCTTTTCTTTCCAGCTTTTTGATCCCCACGAATTGCTCCAGAAAATCCCCAGGTGATCTTTTGGCGTTAAAAATTCCTTTTGCCTCCGATTCGGTTTCGGTTTCTTCAGGACTTGGCACTGTTTTCTTACTTTCCTCGAGTTTTTTGGCTATAAAATCTGCAGCGATCTTCTTCGCATCATAGGCAACTTCTGCATCTTTATCTCGGAACGCGACGGAGACTATGTCGTGAGCTAAATACAATACGGCGTTGATCACCTCTTCTGCTTCGTCGGGCTCTTGTTTTCTCGTTTCTTTGATAGCCTCATTCATGGCATATTTCACTTGAGGATCGATCGGAATTTTGCGATCAAATATATTCTCTAGACGTTCCCAGAATTCTGCCTCCTCCGTTGTTTGGGATGCCATACGTAAGTAAAGTTTAGAAAAAGCTTTGAAAGGTTGACCTGTGTAAGTAAAAAAGCAAAGTAAATACGCGACAGACTTTCTGCTGCCAGTTTGTTAGAGAAGTTATCCCTAATTCGACATTTTGTCTATCGGTCTACAGTGTTGTTAATGCAGAGCTTAAGACTGCACAGTGTCTCCTGGTCGGTTTCACAAGCGGAGATACATACTATCTAAGGCGGTCAACATCTACGATCTATTAGAAAACCAAGATAAGAAAATTCTCGCACGACAAAATATCGAGAGAAAGCTCATACCTTAACTGAAGGTCTCGGAATACAATTTGTGTAGTAGATTAGTCACCAGCCGAAATTAAACACGCATCGAGTTAAGAGTTCATATTTTTTCGGCTAAGTTTTAAATACGACTTAGTTGTCTATGTGGTATTTTTTCTTTCTTTTGTGAAAGTTTTTGTAACATAAGATATGTAGCTTTTAATCTTATAAATCCACAACGACGACTGTTATTAGAATTTCTTCCATTCACCAAAACCATGTTGATCGAGAGGGACTGAGATGGAATAATGGACACTTCATAACTCGTTATACTCACATAAAATTATGAAGTTACCAAAACATGCCGATTTATCTCTATGTCTTGAGTCAGAGTTACTTGTTTGCTAACTTGCGTCAAAAAATTTTACCCAAGAGCTGGTTAGGGTTAAGTTAGCATTCTATGGTGGTATGATAATACACCTTGCGCAATTTTATGTTGATATTTCAGATATCCTAAGCGTACACTTAATTTGTTGCCTCTGTTCTGTGTTCCGCACCTTCCTCTCTCGTTCGTATGACCTGTTCAAAACTGAGCTTTTTATTATCCTAGTCTTATTTTTACATTTTTTCAAGATGAAAACGGTTAGATAAATACATCTAATAATTTCCAACGCGAAACATAAGGATTCACTTATAAAAAAACGCCACCGCAAATCCCTGAGCTGAACGACTCGAAGCCGAGATGGGTGACCTATTCCAACAAATAGCATTCAAAAAACTGGTCCCTCGCAATTCCAACGGAACATGTTTCGGCACACCTTAGAAATTAAAGCGGATAACAAAGTATACGTGCCCACCGACAAAACTACGAACTTCTACAAAATGACCGCTGAAAATTACAATTCGCTGCAGAAGAAAAGCATCGAGAAAGAGTAGATAAAGTCCCGGAAAACACAGACAAGCCTAGCAACGCCAAGGTGATAGACATCGCAAAAAGTATTCAATTTTCCGACAGAATAGAAACACTGGTCTCCCAAAACTCTTTTTTTGCCTTAAAAAACCAGTAGGAAAATTTCAGAAACAACCCCGCATGCAGACTGATCAACCCAAAAACATCAGAAATAGGAAAAGTGAGCAAGCAAATCCTGGACAACATCAAAAAGCCGATTGTGTGTAAGACAGGAGTCTGGCAATGGAGAAACACAAAGACTAGACTGGTTCAGGAGCATTTCAAATAATCATCGCGTTCGACATGGTCAATTTTTACCCCTCCATTTCATGCCAACAATTGGAAAAGGCTTTTGAGCTCGCAACATCCTACGTCAGTATCTCCCAGGAAGATCGCGAAATCATCCTCCACGCAAAAAAATCAATATCGCTCGATGGTAAAACACCCCGTGGACAAAAAAAATTCTCAGACATGTAACAATGGGATCGTTTGGCGGTACTGAAACGTGATATCTGGTGGGATTGTACCTCCCGTACCAGTTACCAGAAGAGATAAAAATCTGTAAAGTTATCTCCTAAAACGGATTGTAGACAACTATAAAGGCTAAGAAAAAATTGTTGACTTTCTTTCTTGACGTCACGATAAACCTAACCAAAGGCACCTTCAACCATACACAAAACCAAGCAACACGCCCCAATATGTACACCGTGAGAGCAACCACCCCCAATCAGTTATAGAGAACATACCACTAGCGATTTATAAAAGGCTCAACGAGATCTCGTTGAACAAGGATACCTTCGACAAGGCGGCACCAGTTAACCAACATACTCTTGAGAGCAGTGGTTACGACTTCGAACTAAAGTTCTAAGCCGAAGGCAGAGCACAGCAAAGCCAAGAGCAGACCACCCAACAACAGGAAAAGAAAGCTAGGCGTTGAAATATCACATGGCTCAGTTCCCTCGCCTTTGAGAGAACGTCGCCACGAATGTGCAGTGGGAAGAACATTCGGGGGCATTGTGAACGAGTGCAGTCAAAAGCAAACACCCACCAAGGAAAATCTTCAACAGAAACACGCTGAAGATAAGCTATTCGTGTTTACCGAATCTGAAGGGAAAAATCAAGGCGCACAATAAAACCACCTTTACTGGCAACCAGCAAACACTTGAAAAGACCTGTAATTGCAGAATAAAAAGTGAACCTCTCTGACGGACGGAAACTGCATGGCGCGTTGTATTGTATACCAAGCTACTATGAGCAGCAACAAGGGCAAAGAAACCTACATTGGCGAAACCGGAGATCAGTTCAAAACAAGACACTAGTATTACAAAGCTTCGCTTAAAGGCAGGCGTAAAATGAATTCCACAGAACTAAGCAAAGACATCTGGTCCCTAAGGGACGCCAGCGCGGAATATACATTGTCCTGGAAAATGATCACCCGTGCCAAAACGTACACTAATATCTCAAAGAGATGTCATCTTTGTCTAACCAAGATTTATTTCATTATACGGAAACCGGACCTATGTTCATTGAACAAAAGAAACGAGCTGGCAACTGCATGCCCGCATCCTGGGAAATATCTCATTAAGTATGCAGTATCTCGAGGTCTTTTAACTTTTAGTTTTTAACATCCGAAGAGAGAACATCTCGAAACAGAACTGTAATGTAATCAAGTTGAAACCTTTTCAACTCACAATTATTTACTATTACCTCTCCGCAAGTCAAGCACTGCTTTTTTAGCTTGACAAAATCTTAAAAGACAGAACAATTTGTACATCCGCGCAATATTCTGCACGCGCTATCGTAACGTTAAGTTCTTTAACAGGAATTTCCTGACATGTCTGCAACATGATGTCAGCTCATGTCTTCTTTGAGCTCACCATTTGCGGTTTACAAATGATAAAATATTTTTCCCACAAACACAAACTGCATCTGTTAGCTACATTGGAATAAGAACTAGCTTGTTTCACCTTGCGCCACTGAATATTAAACTTAGTGTTCTTATCTTTAAGACTTCAGATATATTTACTAAGTTCAGTAGCATGCCTGTAACGTTCGTTTCGGAATGAACACAAGTGGTTCCTGTAACGCATTTCAAACGCAATGTCACAGAGACCAAGGTATGTTTCATTTGCGGTTTCTGTGGTGACCTCTGCCTGGTAAATTACGCTTTCCATGTTACAGCTTCCACCCATGGGGCATAAGTCAGGTTTCCTACAGTTGCAGCTTATCATTTGTAAACCGCAAATGGCAAGTTTAAACAAAAGAAATGAGCGGACATCATATTGCAGACATGTCAGGTCTTTACCAATTAAAGAACGTAACGTTACAATAGCGCGTGCAGTATATTGCCCGCGCATGTACACATTGTTCTGTCTTTTAAATTTCGGTGGACTGTAACCGTTATTTCTGGCTGTTGCCTGACGATTGCTTCACAAGAGGCATGAAACTCAGAGTTGCAGTAAAAGTTCAAGTAACCTAAATCTTGAAGTATAATTATATATATATATAATTAAGCGAAATAGGCAACGTAGGATCCATGACAGTGCTCGACAATGAAGGAGCGATATATTGTGGGAGGCAAAAGACCTCTTTCCTCCCACAATATATACTTCGCTCTACTTCTATATATTGAGCACTGTTCTTACGAAAATCAAGTCACACTTGTTATATATATATATATATATATATATATATATATATATATATATATATATATATAT